TTGCTACACTGAGTGCATGTAACACTGTGATTATGGCGCTGAAGGGTATTTCAACACTTCTGTGAGAAAAAGACTGCATTTTTCTATTCAATACTTTCTTGCAAAAGCACCTATCAAACATGTCACTCATAAGTCGTCAAGGTGAATGAGTGTTTCTGTGCGTAGGTACCTAAATAGTGGCTTGTCATCACTCTGGAATATCGATGATGAGACATGAGTAGCCTCTAAAGAGGAGTTGCAATTTATGTTTCGCGACGTTGCAGGTACTGCTGTCGGTGTCGTTAAGTGCACGGCGCACGCTCCTTTGATCAGCTCCGTTCTTCCCCGTTTCATCTTTAACCAGTCAAAAAGCCTATCTGAAGCGCTACCGATTAAGATTTTAATTTGGACGTAAGGAAAAGCCTTCGGGTAGTGCCCAGACTACCTTTTATGTGCCACAGTTCATGATTTTTGCGCTTAAAAATGTCTTACTAATGCAAAATAGGGGAGGGGTAGGGGGTGTACAATAGACTTACCTCCATGGGCAACGTATACTCGTGCGGTAACAAGTCTATAAACTGGCAGTTGACTTCGCACTTCAAACTGCCGTGACCCGATTGTATGTCATCTTCAACCACTTCCACAATACTCGTCTTTTGCATTTGTGAATCATTCTTCTATTCCTCCTTTCGACATTTTCTCACTTGGGTGCTCCTCTCTTCTGTGAAGTCCGAAGTCAAAAACGACTGCTACTTTACGTAAGTAAATAAAGTTAAAATAAAGGGATGTCAAACAAAGGTCTCAGTTTTCTCCTCTCTACTCTTCTGAGCTCATGATGAAGTCATCTAGGATCGTTTTCCGATCCCAATGCGTGTCAAGATATCAACTGCAATGCAACTCCTTGGCATTTTGGCTTAGCTTTAAGCACCCTTTATTTTACTTTCTTATCTTTAGTTTTTTTCGCTGGTTAAAAAGAATTCACCTTTCTCCTTGCTATGCTAATCAAAAGCTTGGCTAACACTAATCACAAGAGACGTGCTTTAACAACAAGACCTGCAGCACCTTCTAAGTGTTCCAGGCAGACACAAAGGTAGAGTAAAGGTAAGATGAGTATTGTGAAAGGGGCCGAATATGACAAACAGTCGGGCCGTAGTAGTTTGAAGTCAAGTAGTCGAATTTGACATACAGTGGGGTGATTGTAGTTTGAAGTCATGTCAAATGCCGGTTAATAGACTTTTTTGCCGTATGAGAATGTAGGACATATAGGGGGGTCATGGTAGTTTGAAGTCAGAAGTCAACTACCGATTTATAGACTTTTTTGCCGTATGAGTATACATTAATATTGAAATATGACTAATTAAGCCTTAGGTTATGAAGCATGCACCTGTTGATAGCTACTTGAAAGCACCGAAATTAAACCAAACGTAAATTTGCACTCGATGGAATTGAAAATTCAATTATTGCTTGTCTCCAGGCCAAATGACATTTCATTGCCTGAAGTAGCCCAGTTTTTTATTGTGGAAAAGTCCTTGAACTTTGACCAAGAGTATAATTGAAGGAAAAGAGGCAAGAAACGAGGAGATCATGCATATAACGTCATTCAATCTTTAATATTCCGGTTGCCCAATATCAATTTCCCGTATGGAAATTCTATTTTTCAGGACTTGTTCCTATTTATTAATTTGAAAAGCCTTTTAGTGCTTAAAATGGGAGGAAGAAATTGGTACACATGATTTCGACAAATTAAAATTCAAAACAGTTGGTATTAAAAAAAAATTCAACTGATTGAACGGATTTCAACAGCTAATGGGCTCGCTTGCATCTTCAACATAACACAATATTAATTAAAATCATTTAATAATTACAAAATTAAATTAAAAAAATTGAATAACGCCTACCACTAGGTTCTCCAAACCTGGGATCTTCCAAATTGTCTACCTTCGACCCTTCAGGAGAATTAGTTCTCATAGAACTTCCGGCTTCACTACTCAGCTGTCTGCTAATTCTCGTTAGTCTGGCTTGCAGATGCTCCAGTACTTCTCTCGTAGGGGTCCAGTTTGGTTGAGAGGCCTCCCAGGAATCCACGGCAATCCAATCCGAAGAGGTAGAACAAGCCAAGCGCGCTAGTCGACACCGAGACTCCGCAGAAGCTAAACCTGCTTTGGAGTAGCCGTCAGAAGTAGGTGATATGACACCTGCCACCACAATTTGGCGACGCGGACTAAGAATTGAAGAAGGTGGTGCGGAGGTGGACAACATAGAATCGGCTCTCGCAAGCTGCGATTGAGAAAAGGACCACGTTTTTTCCACGGCGTCGCGCGCTAATTCTAAAGAGGAAAAGCGCGAGCAATAGAAGGGAGAACGCCATAAAATTCTTCACGCGAATTATTTCTGCCTTATATAGTTAATCGCGCAATATTCATGACAATCTCTACTACGTGCCTATCTAATAAATCGATATTTCACTTCCAATTCTCGAATTAGATCTAA